GTAGTTCCTGGTCCGTAGCACAGATGGTGAGGCTGCCTCACACACACACAAACAAAAACCCACATACCAGTTTTTTTTATGTTGATTTGTTGACTATAAAATCACTAGACTTTTTTAGTAAAATAAAACTTTCATCCTATTACTACATTATTCCAGTACCATTCATAGTATTTAACTGTTAACACATTAATTGACATATGAGTTCACTAAATTGATATTTATTTAATGAATAGATGAATGCATGATTTATTGAAGACTTCCCCCACCCCCAGGACATTAACCTGTTTGTTTTTACTCCCTTTAGTAATTACCATTAACATTAGCACTGTAGCACTGTAGCATTGTAGCACTGTACTCCCATTTTTTATCGATTTGCTTGAGCAGGCCCAGTAACATCTTCATTGTGAGACTTGTTACTGTGTTTGGCATATGAATATGTCATGGGTAACTTGTCAGGCTTTGCCGTGCAGGTGAGATACTCTCTCTCTAGCTTGCAGGGTTCTCCAAGAGGAGCAGAGGAATTGAACCCGGGTCAGCCGGGCCGGCCAGGCCGGCCACGTGTAAGGCAAACACCCTACCTTTGTGCTATGGTTCTAGCCCATTCATTTAATCTATGACTCCCACATGTTAAACACCAACCATGTATTTGTTTCTGCTATAGCCATTCTGTATTAATAGTGGTTCTATTAATAGTTGGCACTTCATTTCAGTAACCAGACAGTACCCACTTGAACTCAAAGTTTTTATTGTTTAGCAAAGCGTGGAATCACCTATACTATTGCATATTGAGTAGAACAAGTACATTATAATTAGATCATCTTGAGACTCTTACTAAATGTTTAGGAGAAATTTTTTGTCAATTATAATAAAAAATAATTCTTTATCAAACAGCTAGTAGTTTGTGTAAGACTATTTGTATTTTCATAGAGAACTGGACAAGGTTCTCAAATGCCAAATTTTATTTTAAGGCTAACCTAAAACATAGCAGCCCTGTCCAAAAAAACCACAAAGGGTATAGAGAATTTGGAGATACAGTACAGAGTGTATGGCAAGTAAAGCTCTGCTCATGACATCCCCAATGGTTCCCCAGCATCACCTGTAGTGATTACATCACCTGAATGTAAAACCTAGGGAAAGCTTTGGGCATAACTGAATATGGCCTAAAAGCAAGCAAGCAAACGAACAAACAAACAAAGACTATCTTGTCTTCAAGGATTACTAGAATGCCACCACAATCCTATTTCTGAACATCGCAAAGAGAAACTGTCTAGGGTTCAAAATAAAGAGCCATACAATCTACTCCAGACCCTGACCTGACTTTGAAAAGTCAGTCTAAGAATAAATCAGTTGCATTACTTTTTTTGAAGATAGCCACTCATCTCTAGACCTCTTAGAAAATAAAAGGGTATCAGAAGTAGATGTTTCTAAGCTCTGACATTCTTCTTCTCCCTAATATGCAGGTACAGTTTAAATTACTTAAATCTGATGTCCTTAAGAATGAGTGAATAGTCTTGAAATCAGCTTTGACAACATTTAAAATATAGCTACCTTGGTAACTAGTAGGTTTTCAGTAGAAATCACGGGGTAAGTGTTTCCTACAGAAGTTGTGGTGGGTACTTTGAATTAGAGTATATTAAATATCTATACAGAAGCCATGCTTTTAGTGAGCCACCTCCAAACACTTTAATCAGGATAAATGTAAGCAGTCTCTGTGTAAGCAATGTGTCTACCCTCAAAATCGTTCCATTTTCCAATAGGTAGCAAAACACCTGGTTCTGTGATAGCCCTGTGATTTCTTTGCCATTTCACACATATCTATTTTATGACTTACTTTCTTCTTTCTATAAGTAGATGTGACAATATGTACCATTTATGACTAATAAACACTTGCACTGTAGCACTGTCCTCTCGTTGTTCATCGATTTGCTCAAGCAGGCATCAGTAACGTCTCCATTGTGAGACTTGTTACTGTTTTTGACATATCGAATGTGCCATGGGGAGCTTGCCAGGCTCTACCTTGCGGATGAAATACTCCCGGTAGCTTGCAAGGCTCTCTGAGAAGGACAGAGGAATTGAACCCGGGTCGACCACGTGCAAGGTAAATGCTGATAAATCAGAAGTCATTTTTGAAAAATATTTGGGATTTTGGAACTTAAAATCCATTGTTGAAAATTGGAAGATTTTTTTTTCTTGGTTTTTGTTTTCAGTCCACACCGGACAATGCTCAGGACTTAACTCTGCCTCTGCACTCAGGAATTAGTTCAAATCTTTCCAGGCCACAAGTAAAACAAGTGCTACCCCACTCTACTATTTCTCTATCCACCCAAAATTGGAAGATCTGTTTTTATACAAATACAAAGCTTAAAAATCATTCATAGATTTTCAAATAGCACACAAATTTATGTTATCTGTTAATTTTGGCAGTTTATTTTATATTTTAGCATAATTGTTGGATATTTATTAAAATGTAATATGGTAGTTGAAAACTAGACTAGGTGGAAGAATGAATGATTAGTTTCTGCTGTGCTTCTTACAAGTATTATGACCTTGGACACAAATGAATAAACTGTTTTTCTCATCTGTGAAAACAAAAATAATGTCCATTGCTCAAGTGGAACAATTACTACAAGACAGAACAAAACACAAACACACACACACACCACACACAAATGTTCATATATGAAAGACTTGAGTTACATATTATATGATTTATCCATATGTATATAGGATCATCTTCTCTTCACCCCAATATATACATTGCATTTTTTTTGCTTTTCTCTTTTTCTGGAGGGAGAGATGCAGCTGAGCTGTGGTCAGCAATAACTCCTGGCTCTGTGCATAGGGGTCACTCCCGATGGTGCTTCAGGGCACTATATGTGTTGCCAGGGATCAAACCCATGTGAGCTGCATGCAAGGCAAGTGCCTTACCTGCTGTATTATCTCTGAGCCCTACATTAGATTAGTTTAATCTATCTCATAGCTATGAAAAATGCAGCTCAGAAAAGTTAAGTAAGATTTTGTTTTGTTTTGTTTTGTTTTGTTTTGTTTTGGTATCTGGACCACACTAGGCAGTGCTCAGAGCATACTCTCAGCTCTGCACTCAGTGAACACTTCTGGTGGGAATCAGAAGACCATATGGGGTGCCGGGGATGAAACCTGGATTAGCTGTATGCAAGATAAGAACTCTGCTGATTGTCCTATCTTTCCCGCTCAAGGGTAAGTAAGATTTCTGCTTCCACACAACTTACCCTCAGAGGCAAGACCAAAACAGCAAATTGTTCTGCTTAATAAAAGTAAGATGATACACACAGCAGAATGATTTGTCTGTGTTGTCTCCTCTTGCTTTACTTCCACTTTTCTACTTTGCTAAAAAAATGGTTTGACCTCCTCTCTCTCTCTCTCTCTCTCTCTCTCTCTCTCTCTGTTTCTTGCACTTTTATATTGTTGTTTACTGAAGCAAAATGGTTTTTGTCGTAAGATATTTAGAGAGATGTGAGGAGCGAGAGAGAGAGAGAGAGAGAGAGAGAAAGAGAGAGAAAAAATTAACCTATTGCCATTTTTAAATATATATTTCAGTGTGCTTTTGATGAAAGGTAAACTATGATGTAGCTCATAAATATGGTCTGGCTACTTAAATGTGCACCGAGTATTTCTTAATCATTTATGAAGAACTGGGCTAGACATGATATGGGTGTATTGATGGAGAGAGGGTATTTATTCAGCACTTTGATGATAATATGATTATAGAAAGAAGTATCTTTGATTCTCAATACCATAACACTAGTATAACCACTTTACATAACTATAAATAATTTAATAAAAATATAACTCAGGAGGTTGCGTTGAGAAAATAAGGTAAACTATCATGTGCTAACTCTACCATCTCATTTAGATAACCACTTAAGAATTTAATTGTTCTACATTTCATCTAGGCAAGAGGATATTTCCTGTAGAATTTTAAGCTCTGATAGCTCAAGGCGGGGGGGGGGGGGTGGGGGGGAGGTACTCTGAGGGGTATGTTCTCATGATTCACAGATGTTCAATTTAAGTTTCAACCTGGAAACAGCCTATGACCCCCATGAAGATGCAAGTCAAAACAGAGATACATACAAAGGACTGTAAAAAATCTAGCAAGGGAACTAAAAAAAAATTAAAAACACTTCCCATTGATAACATATGCTTTCCTGTTCCTGAACTTCCTTTTTTGTTGTTTCCTGAAGTTTGTAAAATGCCATAGATTCTATTGGCTTTTCAAACTTCTGGACTATATAAAATTATAATTTACGATAATACATTTTTTATATGCAGTCTAAATTTTGACCAACTCTAGCTTGTTCATACTTTACTTAAACACACACACACACACACACACACACACACACACAGTCAACTGATGCATTTTAAACTCTGGGTAATGGGAGTAATAAATGGCATGCTTTTCCTGCAAAACAAGACTTTCTTCCAGAACACTTTAGAAGTGCATTCAAAATAGTACATGGGGTGGGGGGGGGAGGACCTCCACTTGAATTTGCACAAATAGCCCAAGGCAAGAAAGAAACCAAATGAATGTTTGCACATAAAACTACTCATTTGTTTTCACAGACCACATTTAAAATAACTACAAGATGAATTTCATTCCATTTGTGGACATACACCATCTGCAAAAAGAACTATTTCAGAAATATAATAAATGTTACTTGAAGGCAGGACTACTACAAAGGGGTGGATAATGCACTAGAATTGGGGGAGAGTAAGAAAGCCTTTAAACACAATATTTTAGGGAAATGAATCCAGAGAATAAGACTATATTTGAGTCAGGTTACTGCACTCTTACTACTTAAGAAGTTTCCAATTTTAAGCAGATGCAAAGGACTAAAGCAAACCGGGAGGGAAAAAAATGACCGATAAAGTTTCTGGCTACGATACAAGAGACATATCATTACCATATGATCTAATGTGGGTGTTAGCCGGATTGTGTTCATTGAGGGAGACCTTATTTTTGAACTGTGCTATGGAGTAGAAGCAGAAGCTTTTCAATCTAGTGACAGTCACAGCGCAGCACCTACCCCTCCTCCTTTCCACACCTGCAAGCTCTTTTGCTTGGGCTGAATTTAGTGTAATTACATCTCAGCTTTGAGGGCTCCTGTGGCAAATTCCCGGATTAAAAGGTATGGTTTTCAATAATTGTCCTGAACTCTGCTACAGATTAATAAAACTTCAATCACATCGAGAGCAAAAGGAGTCGTTTATAGAGAGAAGGGAAAAGGGAGAAAAAATGAGCTAAACTTTGAATGATCTTTATGCAGCATGTGAAACAAGTATTGCTTAAAACAGAAGTTAAATATTTGAGCAAGTGGTCAAATGCAATTCTTGAGTTCTTTCTCTTCTTGCAAAGATGTTTATTTTTTAAACCTGTAATCTAACATTATGGCTATAAGTGTATATTTTGTATTTGTATTAGTGAAATGTTTAGCTCTTTAGGAAGACTTAACAAAGAAATGTTCTAAACGAATAGAGTATTTGTAACTGGTGATACATTTAAGGATTTATTCTCTTCCTGAATTCCTGTGTATTTTAAGAAATTTCAAAACCCCAGAGAACTCTGGTGATTAATTGAAGCCCTAAATATATTTCGAAAACTGATAAAAGAATAGAAATTTTAACTAGAGAAGTTGTAAACATTAAGAGAGTTATGCTGACTGTTGAAGTGAAGACCTAACTGTCTCAGTTTCGATTTGTAAATTTTAAAGAATAAGCCATCAGTATTTTCAAATATACTCTTATTATAAGGTACATTCAGTAAATATTAGGATGTGTGTTACTTTCCTAATTTCAAAACAGCATAACATGATGACTGCTAGTGCAGAGAGCTCCAAGGATACAAATACCTGTGGCTTTTTCTTCTTGATATTTGACCAGTAAAGGAACCAAATGTTTCTAATACTAGTACTTATATGTGGACGGATGTTATTGTTACTGTTCATTATTAAATCATCCTATTATTATTAGCCCTTTAATTTTTTTAAGTTACGGGAAGTTGTAGTTATGCTTTGCAATTAAAACTTTAAGCATCTCACAATCCCCAAGGCATTAATTAATAACATCACACAAATGTCAATCTGCATGATATCGTTGATATAGTTAATTTAAAGGCTGAGGTCATTTAAGGGAAAAGAGGACTTTTAGTAAAACTCTAATAAACTATAATAACAATTACTGGAGTAAAGCATCAGTTTTAGCAATTAGCATTTAGGAACAAGTGATGCATTTTTGAGATAACTTAAAGCCGTTTCAACAAAATATTAAAAGTATATTATTTGATTGATAGTACCTTTGGTTCCTATGTGGGAGTGTTTTTTGTTTGTTTGTTTCTCTGATTTATTAAGGACAAAAACAGTCAAGGAAATAATTATAAGTTATTGTTCACATTTTTTGGTGATGCTCTTTTCAAATGTCATGAAATTATGATTTAAAATAAGTGATTTCATGGAGGAATTAGTATAATAGCCCTAGATATACTCTTTCCTGGAAGCTTAAGGGTTAAAAATGCACCCATGTGTAAGGAGAGCACTTACAAACAAATGAGAGTAATATGAAATAATTAATGGACACTGTTCATGTTCAGTTTTAAGCAATAAGGAATATTTAACAAAAGTACACAAACGTAGGCGATGGTATTCCTCTGGATGCTTGACATTTCCTTCTTTGGATGAGTGAAGCAACCAGACATTTTCTGCTCTGGAGAAAAGATTAAAACAACAACATCTGCATTAATTCTTGTTGCTATTTATTAAATCTGCAATGACTTTGCTTTATTTTTCTTCTAAAATTGTAAGACATTAAATATGCAAGGCGAGCAAACTTGTGGTAAACCATAAACTTTACATTTTAATGTGAAACAGACAGAAAACCCACTCAGCTCCCAAAGATCCTATCCAGGAGACATTGCCAAAACAATAGGGTCTCCTTTAAAGGGCAATCTTGTAATTTGGGGTATTGAGCTTTTAGAGGAAACTTGATAGTGAATTTAAAGGGACAGGACACATAATCAGCTACCTGGCATAAAAAAATTAAAATTTAGAAACTGATATATGTGCTACTTCTGACATACTTCAGTAACAATGTTTTTGTTCAGCATCTAATAACAAAAGGGTAAGACACTGAAAATCATTGGTTGCCTCTCGAGTGGATCTTGGCAAAAATTTCTCAAGATTAAATCGAATTAATGCATAAAAAGATTTTCTTCTGCATATGCTGCATTTGACTAAGGAGCCTAAACAATTGCCTGATTGTGGTTATAAATGTATACCATTAATACAAATTGTTATAAGCATAAAATTTAAAGAAAGTAGATGTTAAACAAATGCACAGTATGTTTTGGGACTAATTAGAATAGTGCCAATGGGATTTTATGTTATCAATTTAGACATTGTTTTTTCTTTACTTAATCAACTTTTCTTAATCATATTTATTAAACTCACAGCAAACAATCAACTCAACAAAAATGTATAAAGCCTTTAACTTTTTATTGAATGAAAGGACAAAAGTTATATTATGTCAAAAGGATACTTTTTGTTAGTTTGTTTACAAGAGAGTCCTATTGATTAAACTGATAATATTACATAGATAAGTTATTTTTCCTTGTATATTTATTAATTTATTAAAATTGATCACTTTGAGAAACTGGGCGAAAATTATCTGTAAGCCTGAACCTTGCCTAAGCACAATTGAGGTTTTCGATCTTTGTTACTGAAACAGAGATAATTTTGTGATCTGAAAAAGCAGGAATCTTTCTGGAAAAATTGAGTAACTTGTATTGCTAAGAAATTGATGGTCATTTGAGTCATTTATGTGCAGAATATTGTGCAAGCTGGAGTACAGAACAAAGAATAATAAGGCACGCCCTGGAGGAGTACATCTTCTAGTTGGGGGGAAGAGGGGCAGACCAAGCATGCAAAACAAATCACAATATTATTTGATAAGTTCTTTAAAAGAGGTAAGAGCAATTGTGCTTTGGGAACACAGAAGAGAGAGAAAGCAACATCCTGTTTGGATGAGCCAGGATATACAAAAGGAACACTCTTTCTCTCCTTTAAACGTTGGAGACCTCTTACCAGGTAGGTGTTTTAAATGATAGTTAGTTGTGAGTAGGGGGAGGTAGGAACTTTGATTTGGGACTGGAGTGGAAAGTGAAGGAAGAATAATGTGACTGGAGAACTCGTTGGTACCAAATTATGAATGATGTAAAATGTAGCACAAGGGATTAGAGCTCACTGTGTAGCCATGGGAAGTCAGCAAAGTGTTAGCAGTAGGTTTATCCAATAGCATCTAGTTCTAAGATGATGTTTTGGGTAGTAGAATGGCAGATAGCATGGAAAAGAGGCAATTTTCAACACAAGTCAGTTGGAAGCTCTTGACACAGTGCAGAGAGTGATAAGGATGTCATGAACCAAGATAAATACAAAGGGATGGAGCCATAAGATTGGAGTCCAGAGACACTTCTGAAGCAGGAATTAGAGATTTCTCACGTGTATTGAATACGGCATGGTTTGTATGGCTTGTGTTAAGTGATATTAAAAAGTCAATTATCGGATATCATTGTCATTTTTCAAAAAATGCAAATATATAATAAACTATTTGAATTCAGACCCAAAATTTAAAGAAGCAGAATTAAATACTATGCCATTTTATTGTAATCGATACACAAGTTAGCCTATACCTTATTATTTAAATGCATCCCTAAAGTTCTATTTCCTAATAAATGAAGTGTTTTAAAAATATTTTTCTCTGTGCTCATGCCACTGTGTGGCATAAGAAATAAAAAGTTAGGCAATGCTATTCCTCTGAACCTTTTGTTTACTTCCTAGGTTCCTTGGTTGTGAAAATACATGAGATAAATCATGAAGGCAACTCTCATCTTCCTTCTGCTTGTTCAAGTTTCCTGGGCCGGCCCTTTTCAACAGAGCGGCTTATTTGACTTTATGCTAGAAGATGAAGCTTCTGGGGCAGGTTCAGAAGAGAAAGCCATAAAACCTGATGTTCCTATCTTCGACCCCCTGGGACCAATGTGTCCCTTTCGCTGCCAGTGTCATCTTCGAGTTGTCCAATGTTCTGATTTGGGTGAGTGGGGTGTAGGCTGTCTTTTACATTTATCATCTTCACAAAATGACTTTGCATTTTCAATTTAATCTTTGCAACTTCAAATATGAGAGACAGTGCCACCTAATGAGGAATAAAGGAAGCAGAGTAAGATTGAAGAAGTAGTTTGAGATTAGTAGACTATTTTTCTCTTTCTTTTCTAGACTCAGTGTTTTATTGTTTTGAAATCATAGACAAATCACATTTGAAACTTTCAGCACTTTCTGACACACATTCTATAAGATAAAAAATGATCCTTTAATATCTTGTTCTATGCTTCCAGAGTGATGATTTACTTAATTTAATATGGTTTCTTCTTGAATTTTAAATAGTAAATTCTAGGTAAATTTTCAACTCTTGACCTAGCCCATATAAAGGAGATTGAACCTTACTAAGTTTTAAGGAATACGGAACTATCAGTAGCAAAATAGTAAACTTTTAGTGTAAAAAATTACCTTTCAAGCAGCCAAACACTTCTTTAATCTCTGATTTTTAGATTTAACTTTACTTTTGGCATTGCATAGTCCAACTATTTGTAGTTTTAGATAGTCTTAAAACAAATTTTTATAATTAAGTTATCATGTTAATAATTTATAGAACCACGAAACATGTGTTTTTAACATAGCATTATAAATGTAGTTTGATTTATTGACATTCAAGAAAAACTGAGCCTGGGTATTCCAAGAGCAATATATTCAAAAGATAAATCTCCAGAAAGTATGAAAACCAGTAGAATGGCCAAAGGGAGATGAATTTAGTTTACTTGACTGCTGATTCTTATTCCTCTCTTTGATATATTTTATTATTTCAAAAGAAAAAAGTCTTGCAAAATGATTATGCCTGTAGTGCAGTTCCTTTATGGAACAAAATCCACTGAATACTCAGATGGATACTACAAAAATTTTCTGTTTATTTTTTTTTCATTTTTTTATAATTTTATTTATTGAATCACCGTAAGAGCAGTTACAAAGCTTTCGGGTCTAAGTCTCAGTCTTACAATGAAACACCCGTACCTTCACCAGTGCCCATTCTCCACCACCAAAAACCCCAGTATACCCCCATTCCACTCCCTCCCCCTACCTGTGGGGCAGATGATTTCCACATTACTCTCTCTCTACTTTGATCACATTCAATATTTCGACACCAGACCCACCATTATTATTTGAGATTTACCCCAACACACAGATCTGTTGAAAAGGCAACAGTAGACAATTTGTGTTCCATTGCTGGTTATAAATAACATATGATGTCATGTGGCTGCTGTAGGGCCATGTGATTTTGAAATTCCGAAATTTTTTTTTCTTTTTTTTCCCTTTATTTTATTTTATTATTTTTTTTACAGTTGTAGATTTACAATTTTTTGTGCTTTGGTTTCAATTATACAGTGATCAGATACCCATCCCTCCACCAGTGCCCATTTTCCACCACCATGGATAATATCCCTCCCACCCCCATCCCCCCATCCCCCCTGTCTCTGTGGCAGGGCAATCCCCTGTGTTCTCTCTCTCCTTTTGGGTGTTGTGGTCTGCAAAAGAGGCATTGAGTGGCAAACATGTTCAGTCCATAGTCTACTTTCGACATACATCTCCCCTCCTGGGAGAATCCTCCAAACATCCTTTATTTGGTGCTCCCTTCTCTATCTGAACAGCCCTTTCCTCTAGGATACCCGGCTGGCCTCTAAGTTATGGAGTAATCCTCCTGGTGCTGATCTCAGCTATTCTTGGGTATTAATCTCATACTTTGTTACTTTATATCCCCCAGATGAATGCAATCTTTCTATGTCTATCCCTCTCTTTCTGACTCATTTCACTTAGCATGATACTTTCCATATTGTACCACTTGTATGTAAAGTTCATGACTTCATCTTTTCTAACAGCTACATAGTACTCCATTGTGTAGATGTACCAAAGTTTCTTTAACCAGTCATCTGTTCTTGGGCATTCAGGTTTCTTCCAGTTTCTGGCTATTGTAAAGAGTGCTGCAATGAACAAACAAGTGCAGATGTCACTTCGACTATACATTTTTGCCTCTCTGGGATATATTCCCAGGAGTGGTATTGCTGGGTCAAATGGGAGCTCAATTTCTAATTTTTTGAGAAATTCTCTGTTTGTTTAAGAAGTGTAATTATTATAAATTTTTGAAGAAAAAAATTGCCACTGACTTTTACAACTGGAATATACACAGAAACAAAAACAGAAAATCATAAGTAATGTTTTAAGATAGTAACAACTGAAAAAAAAATCTTCAATACTGACGTATAGTATACTGGCATTAAAAACACAGAAAAAATAGTGAATAGAAATACTTTTAAAAGGTCACAGAATAGGGGCTGGAGATATTGTACTGAAGGTAGGTGCTTCCCTTGCACAAAGTTGACCTAAGTTTGATCCCTGATCCAGACTCCTGATCCATCACTCCAGAAGTGATGTCTGAGCCAGGAGTAAACACTGAGTCTACTGGCAAAAACCAAAAAAGCCACACTATAGTCCACATATCCCTTGATATATTCATTGATTCTTTCATTAAGCAAATATATATATATTTTTTTGCACTTTTTGGGTCACACCTGGCAATGCTCAAGGGTTACTCCTGGCTTTGCTCTCAGGAATCATTCCTGATGGTGCTCAGGGGACCATATGGGATGCTGGGAATTGAACCCAGGTCTGCTACATGGAAGGCAAATGCCCTACCTGCTGTGCTATGACTCCAGATCCTTTAAAAATATATTTAGGACACAAATGGGTCATATGTGTTTGGACCCAGGAAGTATGGGATGAATAAGATAAATATGGTCCCTCTATTGTTTAATTTTCTATTCTACTGGAAGTGCTTATATTTTATAAATTTTACATTCACTATAGGCAAAATAGGATTAGTATACAATTCTATATTAATCTTTCTAAATATTAAAAAGTTATCTGCATTATCAAGATAGAAAAATTAGGTGAAAATATCTAAACAAAAATAAAATCACTGTTTGATGCATATAACTATTTACAAAATGTTAGAGTTCCCAAGAAATGTGATAAATGTTAAATCCAGTTTTCTTTTAAGAGCAAATTTAGAAGTCTTTATGATTACTCCCACAATGTATAATCAACAATGAAGTGCAAATACTTGTAGTGAAAATGCAAACTTCTCTAGTCATTACCCTGAAGTTCTGCTTTTTCATATATATGTATATAAATTCTGTATTAAACACAAATATATATATAAATTCTGTATTAAACACAATTATATATATATATTGCTTGTTTGGCAAGTGGTTAAGGCTGGACTCTGATAAAAACAATGGGGGTGCTTTCCCAATCTTTGAAATGGTGCAAATACATGCTCAAAACTAGACATAAATACAGTGGCTCATAAACAATTAATTTTTTGCTTTGAATATATCATAGCTGAATTTTGTTGCAGTTGACACTTGCATTACTTTAAAATGAGAACATTTTCTTACATTTTCCCTTTAACTCTAAGAATTCAGAATATACATCAATTCTGTATTAAACACAAACTTGACTTTTGTGTGAAAAATCTCACCATGAAAGTAACAATCTGTTGGGGGGGGGGGGTATATTTAACTAAGAAAAAACTGTGTTCCAAAAGTAGGCTTACCCAAATTCTTTTCAATTAATTTACTGGTAAGTATTTAAATATCTTCCTACTTTATTATCAGACATTTTTTCAAAAAACGTATTTTTCAAAATGAAAGAAATCCATGTGCCTTAAAAATAATGAGTTAAAAAAATAATGAGTTGTAATTTTTGATTACTAACCAAACTGTTGCTTGTTGTGTGGCCTTGGCAAGCTGTTCAAATTTTGGCATATTCATTTGCAGAAAAATCACATCTTAGAGATCCTATAATTTTTATGAGGTATGTTATATAAAAGAGCTCAATACTTTTCTTTTACAATATAATGATTAAATTGAATAATGTAAGATAGAAAGCAAAAAAGAAAAAGCGAATCTTTAGCTATAATTATGACAGTTCAGTTATGATATTTTATTTTAAGTTCTATAGTTCTTTTAGTATGAAGCTTTGATTGTTAAAATAATTTAAAACTAGAGATTACTTTGGAATGAGAAATATGCATGTTGGTCAAAGAGATTGCACAGGGGGTAAGGTATGTGTCTTGCATGTGGCCAACCTAAGTTTGATCCCTGGTGTCTTACATGGCCCCCCAAGTACTCTCAGGATTGATCCCTGATCTCAGAGCAAGTAGTAAGTTCTGAAAACTAAGGATTATCCCAGTCAGTATCGAAAACAAATGTCTTTTTAATAGATTATTCTTGCAAGACCTTTTAATGAATATAGAGAATTTTTAGTTTTGGAGATAATCTGCCTGATTATCTAAGAAATTATTAATATAAACAAAAATTTTAAATTATTTTTATTTTAATTTTTGTATAATTGGCATGATATGAGTTTAAAGTGTGCAATATAATAATTTGATAAATACTTGCAAGATGACAATTGCAAGATAATAATAAATCTAGTTAATATCAATCTCCTACCCCTCAGATCATTAAATTTTTTCTTCTTATGAGAAAAGAGTTAAAGATCTGCTCTCATAGTTTCTTTCATAGAATTTATTATTAAAAATTGTGATGATTTTTACATAAAACTATTCCTAATTTTGGCCTGTAATTTTCAGTGCTCATGCACAGACTGATGCTAGTCTTCAGACATTAAAAGACTAAAAACCACTGATTAGACATTAAGTTTTAAATAATTCAGCATTAATAAGTAATTTGTGGGAGTAAAGACATAACTCCTAAGTAGAGAGTCTAAGTGTCTTACATGTGGCTTACTCTTGTTCTATCCCTGTCATCATCTGGTCTCTTAGCATTGCCTGGTACAGTCCTGGAGGTCTGAGATCACTGCCAGGTACTACCCATAAGCTCTATCAATAAACTCTGGCTAGGTTGGCTGGGAATTACTGGACAGATTCCCAGGGTCTCCTGAGCTCCCCTTGGTTTGGTC